GGACCTCCAGAGAATCTCCTGGGAAAGGGTTGGACAGTTTGGAGAACATCTCACCCCGAAGTAGTTGTTGGGCACCCAGCCCTCTCTGTCGTACAGCGCGGCCAGCCACCAGTCCGAGCCCTCGGGTTTCTGCAGGATGGTGACCATGTCTCCGTCCTTGAAGCTCAGCTCGTCGGCCGCCTGAGCCTGGTAGGTCCAGAGAGCGTACAGAACCCCCCTGTTCTCCACCCCCATGGCGTCCTCCACGCCTGCACACAACAACAGAATATTAAAAAAAACAAACTCCTCCACATTCTCAAAGTTATTTATAGTCGGCAGAGTTTTGCTTTAAAGAATTTCAGTTTTAAAAGTTATGTTATTCGTTTTTTTTTGTTTTTTTTTTTTAAACCAAGAACCAGTTTTGTGGCTTTGTTACTAATATATCCAAAGTTCCAGTCTAGGATAGTTCGGTGGTTCGAGCCCAGGTTGAGTCAGGAAGGACATCTTCCACGAGTCACCGGCTGTGGCGACCCCTGCAGGAGGGAGACCCAGACTCTCCAGGACGGACCCTAAGGTGTTCAGTGAGTTCTGGGTCTGCTCCGGGGTCTCCTTTCAGATGCTGAAACACCTCCTGAGGGAGGGATGAGGCACGTTGAGATATCCGAACCACCTCCTTTTAACGTGGAGGAGCAGCGGCTCCTCACCTTCTCCCTGCTGAGGAGTCTCCTTTCAGTCATGATCCAAACTTCAGAACCACAAGTGATGGTTGGAGTGTAGATAAACGAGAAGCTCTGCCACTAAGCCCAGCTTCTTCTTTACAGACCGGAGCAACATCCTCATTACTGCCTACAGTTTTCCATCAGGCCTGCAGCTTCACTTTGAAAAATTTCACTCTGAGTAAAAAAAAAAAACCTGAACAACGTTGATCCTTAATCACAGATTTGACTGGAAATGACAGATGTGCGTTTGTCTGTTAGCAAAATGTCTCGTAAACCACCGGATGGACTTTAGTCAAAGTCTTGGAGAAGAATTGTTGGATGCAACTCTGAAACGTCAACACACTTCATCGTGTTTCCGCCTGTCGACCTCAGAGCGGCTCCTCGCAGCGCTGCGACTGCTCGACTCAAACGTGTGAGAAAGTCAGTAAATCTACTGTTGCAGCCTGGAAACCGAAATTTGACAATAATTAGTAATTATTGTTAAATTTAAGAAGAAATGTTGGTTAGTTTTTGTGTATAGTATCTTTTTGACCACTGGATGGAGGTAAAAGACTGTATGAACCGAAGGATGGATAGTGAGGGAGCGAGCAGTGTCTCTTTAAGAAATACGGGACGGATGCCCTTTGACGTGACATGGGTTGTCTCTCTTCGGTTCTCAAAATGGCGGAAGCTCGGTGTGGTTTGAGAGTTTTAGCATAACATTTTTCACACAAAGCTTTTAATAAAAATTAAAAAAATCTGTAAACAAGTTCTCAGCTACTTTTTGCAGAGAAAAATAACTTTTTACTCAAAGGCACGGGTTTCAACCGTGAATTTTGGAGCTTCGACAAGACGGAGGTTTTTTCTAGAGGTCAGCCTGTTAGCCTAGCTCGTAGCTTAGCTGCTTTTAACGATCCAAAAACGCAATTCTCACTTGTAAATGAGTCTTCTAGGCTCAATGTGATTTATCCGTCTAAATAAAGGTTGAATGAATGAATGATTTTGGACGGTTAAAACAGATTTTAAAGAGAAAAGTGAAAGGGAGGGGTCAGTGAAGAACCGGAGTTGAGTCTTTTGTCGTCTAGTGTCTTCAGTAGAAAGAGAGAGACGATGAAACCGATGAATGAAAACGAGGTCGATCATTTTCATTTATCTTGCGATTAATTGATTTATTGTTTATCGCGACAGGCCTATGTGACGTGTTTAATAACGTTATTAAACGTACCCTTCAGGTAGCCGGCGCAGTCATCAAACCCGGCGAGGAATGGGTCGCACTTCTCCGAGGCCTTGGCCCCGTCGCTCTGGGTCATGGCCATGACGGCAGCGCCGTTCCTCACCAAGAACTCGCACACGCCGCGGTCGTTGCAGGAGGCGGCGCAGTGCAGCGGCGTCCTGAGGGGGCGAAGACACGCAGACAACCCTGAGCCTTGCAGGAACTGGGTCGAAACAAACCCAGCTGAGAGCGAAGCACTTGTCAGTATTTACCAGCCGTGGCTGTCCGGCGCGCTGACGTTGACCCCGATCCGGACCAGGAAGTCCACCACGTCACGATGTCCACCGCAGACGGCGTTGTGCAGACCCGTGATGCCTTCGTCGTTCGGCTGGCTGGGGTCGGCCATCTGTGGGCGGAGTTAACAGCAGCTAAAACCCTCCATGCTTTGTTTTTACAGAAATACTGTTATCACAACAATCTGCAACTTCCTGGAACAAACTTAGTGCTCCTCCAGAAGGAGAGGAACCGAACATCAGAGAACATTTTTACTCCTTACACAACAGCTAATATCAGCTAAAACTGGGTCAAACTAAGCAGCTAAAATGTCTACACGCATTAATATAAAAACCAGAATAATTCAGTTCAGGTTAACTTTATGTTTTCATGTTTTTATTTGTTGGTTCTCATTGCCAGTATCAAGTCAGACCCCTGCAGGGAGGGAGTTGGACTTCTCCAGAGCTGCTTGTTGTCACTGATTCTGTTCGTAACTTTTATGGACAGAATTTCTCGGTGCAGGGAGTCCGGTTCACTGGGCTCAGGATTCCATCCCTGCTTTTTGCAGATGATCTGGTCCTGTTGGCGTCACCGTGCCGTGATCTTCAGCTCTCATTGGGGCGGTTCACAGTGAAGCAGCTGGGATGAGAATCAGCTCCTCCAAATCTGAGGCCGTGGTCCTCAGTCGGAAAAGGGCGGCTTGTTCTCCTCAGGTTGAGGGTGAGGTTCTGTCTCAAGTGGAGGAGTTCAAGGATCTTGGAGTTTTGTTCAAGAGTGCAAGAAGAATGAAGCGTGAGATTGACAGACGGATTGGTGCAGTGTCTGCAGTATTGTGGACTCTGTGCCGGGCCGTTGTGGTGAAGGGAGAGCTGAGCTGTGAGGAGAAGCTGTCTATTAACCGGTCGGTCTACGTTCCTCCCCTCACCTATGGTCCTGAACTCTGGCAGTGACTGAAAGAATGAGATCGTGGATACAGGAGGTTGAAATGAGTTTCCTCTGCAGAGCTGGACTCTCCCTCAGAGACAGGGTGAGAAGTTCAGTTATCAGGAGAGACTCAGAGTAGAACCGCTGCTCCTCCACATCCAGAGGAACCAGTTGAGGCGGTTCGGGCAACTGATAAGGATGCTTCCTGGGCGCCTCCCTAGGGAGGTGCTTCAGGCATGTCCAACTGGGAGGAGACCCCGGGGAAGACCCAGGACACGCTGGAGAGACTATGTCTCTCGGTTAGACTGGGAACGACTTTGAATCCTCCCAGAAGAGCTGGAAGAGGCTGTGGAGAGAGATGTCTGGACCCCCCTGCTCAAGATGCTGCCCCCGAGACCTGAGTCCAGGACAAGATGGAAGGATGTATTTGAGTTGGCTGTTTGGTTTTATTCAGAAGACGTTCTTTCTCTGCACTCGATTTCTTCTTTTTTCCTGTTTATAATTTCTTCCAAGAGTTCTTACTTTACATGTAGAGCTCGTTTAGCTGTTCATAAACCAAAACGTTCGGCTCATGCAGCTGAAGATAGCAGTGCTTTTTAGTCCTGTAACTTTTAAATGTTTCTAAATATTTTAACTTATTTATAAATATTTCTTGTTTCAGTTATTTCAGAAACACTTTTCTCCTTAAAATCTGCATCAG